CATCCTGTGCCTTCATCCCTCCTACATTCAACTACCTCATAGGACAGGGACCAGAGCAAGGGCCAGGCTGGTGACACCATGGTTCCCCGTTCCTCTGTGGAAAGTCCTAATTCCCATGCAGCCTCACAGCCTGTAGACCAATCAGGCTCCAGCCAGAGCCTCCTACTTTCCGGAGGGAAAGACTGAGGCCTGAGGCTAATAGGGACAGGATTCCTGCTGTTTTCTAGAAAAGACAACCCAAACTCTTCTACTGTTGCCCAACCCATTTTCTCCTCCAGCCTTCTTTCTAGGCATTTGTTCTAATCCTGGCTGTCTCTTGGAGGCCCCCACTTAAAGTCTGCCCAGTGCAAGCAGCATTTCTCAGGATAAGGGGCTGTGTGCCTGAAGATGTGTCTAGTGGGCTACGTTTCTATGGTTACCGATGGCTAGTCTCGCCCTGAGGGTCAGAAGGGTCTCCCTGTTTGTGATCACATCTCTGCTATTCATTCGGCTTGCTTCAGGACAAGGAAGTGAGGTCACTCCTAGTCTCTCATGGGAGCCAGAGAACAGGTTTAGAAGCTCTGGAGCCAGTGACAGTGGCATCAGAAATCCTCACCTTCATTACTCAGCAGATCTTTGTAGCAGTCTATGTGTTGGCAGTGTGGGCCTATTTCACAAGACAGGAAACTGAGGCCAAGACAAGTGCCACCATCAGAGCACAAAGCTAGTAAAACTCTGTAGTCACCCTGAATCCCGCACCTCCAGGGTCTTTTCCATACAAACTGTTTCTAGAGGAGCAACAGATTTGAAGGCTGCCCTCCCTCTCTGTGTCCCTCAGAGCACTGTCACACTTGCTCTCATCACCTTCAGGAGCCAGGCCCTGAAGGCTCAGAGGGATGCCCAATACAGTACAGGGACAGAGCAAAAGGGGCCCATAGTTTCCAGACTGCACCCTCTCCTGGCTCAGCCTGAGCCTGCAAGCTTATAAATTCCATTATTCATCAACCGAGTGCCTGGACAATGAATATTTTATTCACCTCCAGATACTGTCCCCACTGGGTTCTTTGAACAATTTTGTTCTCTAGCCAAGGAGCAGAGGCCTCTGCTGTCCCTAGACTCCTCCTTTCCCCAACCTGTGCCTCTCTGCCGCATAGGTTCTCTCCAGTCAGGCTTCTTGGCTCTGGTAACACTGTGGCCCATGGCCCAGGCATGACCTTCGTGCCTACCTTCCCCTGAGTTTGGCTTCCTCCAGTCCCTGGTTCAGACTGTCTTGGTCTGCTAGCTCAGCTTCACTCAGCTCAGGGCCTGCCTGAGCTCTGCTGGGCGCTCTCCCTGGTGCTGAAGCAGAGGGTATCAGAGGGTTGGTCCAGCCAGGGGATTCGCTATCTCGGACAGTGTTATCTTGAGAAGAGAGGACTCCGGCAGCGAGAAGAAGGAAGGACCTTGGTCTTAGGCAGGATGAGAACTCTGCTGGTCTTCGGAGGAAAGGGTCAGTCTCTGGACTTGGCAAACCCCTATCCCTGAGATCCCCAGGAAGGCCTGGGGCCCAAGCATGTCTCCCGTCTCCCGGTGGGCACCCAAGGAGTGCCTTGTGATGGCAATAGCACCTTCCCCAGATGGGGGAGCGACAGACATAATTCACACCTTGTGATGGCGCCATCTGCTCCCTTGATGTGCAGAGGAGAGGACAGGGCTGCTGTGCCGCAGGGCAGGTGGATGACTGTCACTCACTCTTATTCACGTCACAGGTGTTCCTATTCTTCCTCCCGAGCCCAGCCCAGCTCCATGCCACACATGGGGAATTCTGAGGGATGCAGCCACAGAACCTGCCTTCTAAAGCTAGGAGTGATCTCTAACCACTTCACTCCACAGCAGACTTCTCCTGACTTGAGAGAAGAGCTTCCATGTTCCCTGCCCCACATGCTTGACGTACAGAGCTTGACTGTTCCACACTTAGATGTGTTCCCATTTAATAAACAAGTAAGCTGAGGCTCAGGGAGAACACTAAATGTCACGCACAGCACTGGAGGGTGGAGGAGGTTGACTGCTTCCTAGAGGCAGCCAGGATCCCATAGCCTAGAAGAGGGGGAGGGCCAGCATGTCCCAGAGCTTGGCCTCAGGAGCTCCTGCCTCTGCCTTGGTCCCCAACTCCAACTTCCTCCAAGGGAAGCTGGATTCCGTCTCCTTCAGTAGCGTGGACCTGCCTGTGAATGGGAGCAAGGCATCAGGAGACGAACCAAGCAGGTTGTGTGCACAGCGCAGGTATGTCCTATGTCCCCAGCCAGTGGGCAGAGCAGGTATAGCTGCTATTATGAGAAACAGTGTTAATGGGTGGCCCACTGCGTCAACAGCTAGTGTCCTGGACTGTGACTGTGCATCAGGGGAGAGAAGAGGGACCAGCTTTGAGTCACCAGGGGACTGAAACATCAAAGATGGTCCAAGAGAGTGGTAAACTGTGATACTAAAGCTATCATCCCAGAGTGTCCTGCCACTTTGACCTGGAGGATGCCTACTCTGGGGAGTACCCTGGTCACATGACTGTACAGCTTGACCCTTTGGATGCAGGCCAAGGTCAATGTCTGGAGGCCAGCCCCTGTCTCCATGGACACCTGTACCTCCGGCAGACTCAGGGCCTGGTGTGTGAAGGATGCCCACTTGATTAGTTCTTGGTTTCTTTTTGCTCCTTCTCCTTTTGAGATTTCCCTGGCTGGGCAGCAAGGCTTCAGGGAAACAGAGAGAGCTGCTGCTCTCTGGTAGCCTCCCAAGCAAGCTCCAAGAGAGAATGTTTCCTGCCAATGTGACAGCAGGCTCCGGCTCTCTCCCTTAGCCCAATAGCAAACTGTCTTCAAAGGCTTAGCAAGTGGGGTGCTTGCAGATCACCCCTCAGCCACTTCGCAGTGACTGTTCATATTCCTACAGAGGGATTTTCACGCTAATGGGAAACTCCTAAGAGATTCAGAGAGCCTCGTCAGGCAGTCAGGCACCCTCCATGTTAAGTCCTCACCTCTGCCTGGGGAGTGACACCCAGAGAGCATCATCAGGCAGTCAGGCACCCTCCATGTTAAGTCCTCACCTCTGCCTGGGGAGTGACACCGAGGCCCTGAGAGGTTAAGGGGTGTGACTAAGGTCCCATTGAAACAAGCTGGAGGATCCAACAACCCAGGGCTCACTGGGTTGGTGGCTGATTGTCCCTACGTCACAGCTCTTCTGCTCCATCAGAGATCCTAAAGGAGCAGAAGGATCCAGCTGACCTGACGGATGTTCAAGTGGACAGGAAGAGCTGGGAGTGGGGCGCTTTTCAGGGGGTTCCTACAACTCCAACTATAGGTCTGAATAGGTAGCAACTGGCCCAGAGGCCTGGAACAGACATTCAGACAAGAACCAGGGTTTGCCTAGCTTCTCTACAGGTTTCACATGCCTATGAAAAACTCAGAGCCGTGTCCAAGTGCTAAAAGCTCAGGCCTGCCTTGGCCCAGGGTAGCTGGGGCTGGTGTCTCTCACTGAGCCCCCTCTCTCCTGGCCCCAAGACAAGGCTATGATTAATCAGCGACAAAAGCAGAAACAAGCAGAAAAACGTAATCAGCTTGGGAAGGGCATGGCCAGGCAGGCTGTGGCAATCAGCTTTCCTGCTGGGGCCTTTGGTTGATTGGACCCAAGGGAAGGGAGACAGTTTAGATGAGGGTTCCAGGGATGAGACTGAGGCCAGCTGAGACCCACCCAGGCCAAAGGGTCACCAGATCCCATAATTGTACCCGGGCACACACATCTTGCTCATGTATGCAACACCACTCCCAGCTCAAGGGCCTTCGCACCTGCCCACACCTGCTTCCGGGCTTATGCCCTTCTCTGCCAGCTCACAGCCTTGGCACATGTAAGGTGGCCCATGCACAGTTCAAACATTCACTCATCTGCATGTGGATTTGAAAACGCATGTACACAGTGTCCTCGACGAAGGATAAATATAAACGCATGCACATGCTGCCCCTCAGACAGTGCTCCCACCCCCATAGAACACATGCTAAGGACCCGAGGAAGGTCTAACCTGCAGCCATGTGACCAACAGGCTCTGGGTCGTCTGCCTCCTCCTCACTGCCCCTGGGGACATGAGACAGACCTTGGCTCCTGCTCTGCAAGCTGAGTGGCAAGGGCTCAGGAAGGATCCAGGACAACAGCCCCTTGTGGGATCAAGTCAACTGCTGGTGTCAGCCACAGGCCAGTGGAGTCTCCTGCAGGTCTGTGCTTGGCCTCTGCCTGCTGGCCCTGCCTGGTGACCTTGGCCAACGTCCTTTTCTAAGCCTCAGTTTCCCCATCTTGGGGCCTCTCCTGGCACCAACTTGAGGATTACTGGTCTTGAGGACCCCCGCGCCTGGGGCAACCTCACCTTTCTGGGTCTCTAGTCGATAGTTCTCAGCTCTCCGCTCTTGCTGGGGGAGGGTTAGTGGAGAGCGGGTGGGACAGGGGGTACAAGGAACGGCTCCACCCCTAGTCCACACCACCTGGGTCCTGCTGGCTGCAAATCTGGGGTGCGGGAGACAGCAATTCGAAGCAGACCGGGGGAAAAAGCAGAATCGGGACGAACCAGAGAAGGCGCCCGGGAGGGCTCGGGGCGGCCGC